GAAAAACGACAGTCTGCGACAAATGTTTGATGCCATTAATTGCATACAGAGTTTGCCTACCAGCACTTGTTCAGGAACGTAGTGTCCACATACGCACGCTTGTGTACGCCCGTGCATACGTAGAGCTAAAATCTGAAAAAAATTATTTCCTCAAAGAATTTTTTTCATTAAATCGGTATAACTGATAATATTTTCGCATTATATTGGTGTCCTTGCCCGTCTGAAGGGTAGAAGTCTCGCCCTTTGCTTGTATCCTCCTTAATAACTTCACTGTTTTGCCCTTACAGATAACACTAGATGGGTAAAATAAACAACTGGCTATTACTATCGAAATTTACTTTATTAACCACAATAGGAGATATCAGAAAAAATCACGGTGCGATGATAAATAGAACGAAATATAACTCTAAGACCTCTAAGGGACCACTTGTCGCAGAATGAAACAAATGCCAAGCAAGATTTGTCGAAGAAATCGCTTTGCTTCAGTTGCGCGTTCTTCGTTACGCACGGCGCGCAAATAGTAGAAAGTACTCTGATGTTATCAACAAGGAGCAAGCCTTCCTCAAGTCAAAATGATATATGTGAATTAATTCAAAAGGTCGAAAAGGAATTTCTACCCGCTTATGGTCCTTATGATACCTTATCCGAACTTTAACTACGGGGGGTTTATACTATTGTTTCCAAATTATACGTATGAATAAGAAGCAATTTCGATAAACATTTGGTTAAAAAAAAAAAAGTGTTTGTTGTAAAGTATAAATACCAAAAAACATTGCTTCATTGATGTTCAATAAAGGTCTCGAGAAGAGATCTGTCTGGCGGTATGGCCTTATTTGACAAATTTCTGAACAACATTAAGTAATGACTTACCATCTTTCTAAAATTTAACTTCTCAGTGAAAACCAGTCTCAGCCGGTGTTGGCTGAATCATTAATATTTAATACGCTGCTGATCGCGGAGAGAGAAAGACTCTCGTAAAATACTCGTATATTTAGGAACTTTCATAAATTATTAGACTTCAAGGGTCTTCAAGGTTCGAGGTTATGTTAAAACAGAGGTTCTTCATCTGGGATCAAGAAATGTGAAAATACTTTTCAAAAACAACAACAAATGTTTCGAAAATGTTTTATATGTAAAAATCCTTTTCATCTCCCAAACCATGCATCATGGATATAAAGAAGACCGCATTTTGAAATTTTGCAAACTTCAGGTTCCAATTTTTTATACCAGCTTGCTTGCATTTATGTTTTTTTTTTGTTCAGTAGCATCCTTAAAAACTAGGTCAAGTGAGGCCTTAACTATAACTTTCTCCCATCTGTGGCATCATCAGGAAATGCCTTAATAAAACTACTAATTCGCGAATGAAAATGTGTTTGTGAACGCACAACGCACACAAGGCACGCCAAATAAGAGAGACAGACACAGACAAAAAGACACAGTCACGGCATTTTCTTCCTGACTATTGTTTGCTTTTAGGTGTAAAATATTCCGGTCTGGCTAATCGAAGCGGTCATGAAGACTCTGTTTTTTTGCAGAGCCATTTATATTCTAACGTGCGAGAAGCGAGAGAGGGTGTCGCCCTCGGGCGGCAAGCAAAGTGACCCTTGCTACTCGCGCTTTAGGTCTCTGTCTTTCGCGGAGCGTTCCAGCTCTAAACAGAAAAACCCGCTCCAAGTTGACCCAATTAGGAAAAAGGCTGGCTTCCTCTTTTTCGAGGATAGGGTATAGAAATAAAAAAAAAATTGGTTTAGAAAACAGTAAAATATAGTGTAATCTAATCAAAAGGAAGATGAATATTGAGAATTCATTTCCAATTAAGAATAGTTTAACAGGGTGTAACGAGCGAGTGCGTTTGGAAAATATTATACCATGTATACAAATCTTGATCTGTTTAAGGTGTTTCAATACAGTTTCCAGAGGTCATACCGATATTTTTCAATCGCCTTAAAAGTGGTTAATGAGTTCGAGTTCAATGGCCAAATTATTTCACTTTTATCACTGATTTTTTTCGCGAGAGGTATCTGTTTAACTTAAAAGCAGCATTCGAGAGCACGGTGTTATTTTTTGCTATGCGTTTTATACCGTCATCCTGAACAGAACAAGCTGCTGTGTAGTTAGTCAAATGTACTTGATTGGCAAATGAGTGATGAATGTCTACAATAAACAATTATTCCCGTCTATTACATATAGAAAAAAATAATAATAATAAGAGACATCAAAAACTCACTGTGAACTGTGAATGAGGTATCGACTGTTTGGTGAGCTGTTTAGTAAGTCAGCCTGCGCTCGATCACTTTTTTTGTGTTTTGTGTGTTAATGTTAACTAACTACATCTAATACAAAATTAACCAAAAAACAACACAGGGTTGTTCCAATATGACCAAGAAAAAATTCTATTCACTGTATGTTCATATGTAGATCTTTTGGTTTTCATTATCTTAGTGGAGACTTTTTCTTTCTGCCGAGAGAATTTGAGATGCATATCGGCTCAAAATCAATCTTTGCCTCTATTGTATCGCGCGGGAAGGAAGTTTAGAGTCTTAAAAATTAACACCTTTTGACAAAGATAACCTTATTAAGACCCAGGTTAAAATTCATAGACAGACGGGAAGTGATTTCTTTCTTTGAAATTAAGACTTTCTTCATTTGGTTCCGACGTTCTACTTCCGGGGTTCTCCGATTTTACACAGATTAAATGAGAAATCCGTTATTCATTGCGTTACATTTCTACTCCTTAATTTCTACATTTCTAGAGAGTAACTGCTCAATATTAAGCTTTTAGATCTAAAAAATGTAGAAAAATAAAGAAATGCCTAAGGCATTGACGAACGCTGGTTTTCTTGTCAGAAATCAGACAATGTACGTGTGTAAATTTTAGGCAGCACTCAGCGCTCTGAACAAAAAATGCAAGTCACACAGCACAAACCGATTAACGTAAAAGAAACAAAAAGAAAATAAATACTCAAGCCAAGCAGAGCCAGTAAGGGCAAAAAAAGGAAAAAATACCTCAGATATCAAGTTTCGTTACAAGGAGAATACATCTGCATATTCAAATGTATTTACGAAAGACCCTAACTAAACGAAGACGCCAAGAATCCTCGAAGAGCGCCGCCTTTCAGCGACTGGGAAAATTTGTTCGTTATACAAAGGGTTCGTTTTAACGAAAACAGCGATTTAACGAATTTTGGGGGAAAACCGTTCAGAGCTGTACATAGCTACGGCACTAGAAGCACAAGAATAGGCAAACGAAACTGCTTAAAGCCACCGTGCACATAAAATTGTATCCCAATCCAAGGTCGTACGGCTAGTTTTTAAAGAAAAAAGCCCTCAAAGGTATAGTTTCCAGTCCCCGTTTTTGGAAAGACAACGTTTAAGCAAGGAGCCCACCATTTTAGGTGTTCGGTTAAAATGTTTTTAGAAGGTAAAATGATAATTTAGATCAATTGCAGTGATCAACAGTTCAGTAGTCGCCTTTAGTTGCTAAACATCCATAAGGAATTTCTCTCCGCTTGTGATACCTTTGCACGGGACGTTTACGACTATTATTATTTGTTTTTGGATGTAAATCGTTTTCTTGGTGTTAAACGGCAAAAGGTAGCGGCAAAAGATCTATCCGGTGGACGATCTGTATGGCCTGAACAACATTAAAAATTACTTACCATCTTTCTTAAGTTTAACTTGGTTTGTATCAAACTTAGTCATTCAGAATATCCAGGAACATCTCGGATCGCGACAATAGCCTTGCGGACATCGTCTTTATTGCTGACCGAAAGGAATCCTAACCTGAGATCAGGCCCAATTTTAGCGGTTCTCATACATTCTCTCTAACGGCTACCGCTAAAATCTCTTTTCGTTTCGCCTTGCCCGCCGGAATGTGATTTCGAAGCGAAACGAAAATAGAGCCTGATCTCAGGTTAAGACTCCCCGAGTAAAATACTCTTATATTTAGGAACTTTGATTACACTTAGGGGTGCAATAATATGTAAGAGATTCGCGAGAAGGTTTTCCTTTTGCTTCATCCGGTGTTTAAAACGTGAGATGAACCCTAAATGTATATTACTTTTCAGAAACACCAATAAATGTTTTATATGTAAAAATTCTTTTCATCTCCCAAACCATGAACACTGAACTAAGAAAACCTCATTTTAAAATTTTGTAAACCTCACGTTCCGTTTTTTTCATACTAGTGTGTCTAATGTATATTTTGAAGTTGTTCCTTAGTAGCATCTTAGCGAATAAACACAAAGGTCAAATTGCAAGTGAGGCCTTTTAAAACCTACTGGACTTTTGTTATATTTCATGCCTTCGCCCATCTGCGACATGATCAGGAAAATGCTTAAAGCAAATAATTCGTGAATGACGTGTTTACGAACGCACAATGCACACAACACACTCCAAATAGGAGTAAACGCTTTTCAGTTGAGCTTATGTCGGGAAAGAAAAATTTCTACCAAAAAGTTCTAATAAAAAAACACCGTTTTGCTCAACACAGTTACTTTCTTTCCACATGTTTTCATGCACGATGGTTTGTTTTTGTCAGTTTGTTTCTCTAACGCACGAGAAGCGAGAGCGGGTGCCACCTGAGGGCGGCAAGCAACGATGGCCCTCGCTATACTCACGTGTAAGTTCTTTTCGAGGCGCAAAGAGCTTGCTCCAGGATGGCCCAATTAGCAACATGCAAGGCTGGTATCTGTTTTCTCTAGGACAGAGTATAGTAATAAGTCACTTTGTACTAGAAAATAGCAGATTGCGACATTGTGCAACGTCGAAAGGGAAGATGAATTTTGAAATTCATTTCAGGTCAACAGAGTCAGTTATTATGAATACAAATGTTGATTTCTTTCAGAGCAGTTTATTGAACTTCTATTACAATCTATAGCTTTAAGACATCTTGGTACAGCTATGTACATATGTATGAACAAAAACGAAATGAAACGTTTGAGAAAACATTTACTGATAGCAAATGCTCTAGGTTTTGTATCATCATGATCCGTTCGTTTTAATAAAATTATAATTACTGAGAATTTAACCCTTTGCTTTATACTGAAAGATTTCAAATTCACAAGCATAGAAAACCCAAGCCGCACAGATAATCGACAGCGCTTGTGGATATAAGGGAACAAAAACGGTGACAACTTTCGTCAAAATATGGGGAAAAAAGTATTCATATTAACTTGACGATGTCGTTGCAGTTTATTGTGGCTAAATTAAAAGAAGTTCCCATAAAGTTAAATACTTCCTACATGACATCAAGGTTTTGGAATTTTCGTACACTTTTCTTTTTGGTAAATTTTATAGTGCTTTTTCACGGCCTGTCCCATTTCAAGTTATTTCACTCTTCTTCCTGAAACATACGGATTTGGAACGATGATTTCATTACGTAAAAATCAAAGCCCTAAATTTTCAGCCTCAGGTAGATTTTATTTCAGTCTCAAAAGCTTGAAGTCAAACATGTTCAGGCATCCACTTTTCCACGCACTTATGTTAACATGTCACGACGAACCGTCTTTCAACTTTTTGATTATAGTAAAGCTAGCCTTAAAATTGGGGAAGAGGATAAAGGGGTGTCAAAAATAACTAATTACCAAGGCCTAGTTGTTCGAAGGCCGAGTAGCGCTAACCCAGGGTAAAATTGTAATCCCGGCTTCTTTTTCCTTTGTTCAAAAGCATTTTCTCGTATAACTTTTTTTACTCTTTTTAGAGCATCTAATGATCAAATTGTGCCGGGATAAAAGGAATTAAACAGTTGAATGTACTTTTTAAGGTTTTATATCTGAATTCAAATTTTGCACTAACCATGGGTTATCTTAACCAAGGCTCGGCGGAAATCGAGCCTAATCTTAACCCAGCTTTGAACAAACCGAGCCTGGTTTGATGGCCATAATCAGAGACAAAAAAATAATACGCTGGTTTAAGATTTTACAATGATAACAACAGCCGAAAGTTTTAGTCACTGAATTAACATTGTAATTTCTTACACATACTGAATACATTTCCTTTCCTAGAAAAACTGAGGAGATAATACTGTAACAATTACTTCCTTGACTAAACATCCGTCGCCAATTTCTATCGATTCAAAATAATATTTATCTAACTTAATAAGCAGCTATAGCTAACGATACAAAACTGTATCACTAAATAAACAAGCAATAATATTATGCTCCACGGCGATTATTACAATTAAAGTTAAATTTAAGTCATTGTAAGTGACCTTAAATTTGCACGAATTCAAGTCAACTTTCAAACAACTTGGCCCACTGTCTGCCAACCTGCAGGCAGAACCTTCTTTTGCCTTCCTCTTGATCAAAATCGAGTGAGTGAAGGAAAGGCTTTGTTCCAAGGCCGAGTGGGTTTTGTAAGCTGTAACACGTACAAACCTAAATTAAAGTTTGTATTTACCACCCCCCACCCACCATTATGATCAGGCCCTGTTTCGTCCAGTTTCTTATAAATAAAGGAACAATTTGTTCCTGACTAATGAACTACTGATTCTGTATATATATTTACTATATATTCACCAAGGTCTTTGTGAGAAGTGGTCCTCACTTTTCACATCCACTGTGGTAAATAACGACTTTTTTTACTCTGGTTTTTACTACACTATGCCTACACTAAGGCAACTTAAACTCCCAGTATCAATCATAGGGCTTAATGGATTGTGTGGATATACACTGTAAAAGAGTTTCATGTTACCTCACTAAGCAAACTGGTAATATTTTGTATAACATATCTAAAAATCAGCTGGTACTGTGGTCCACTTTCTTTTGGTCAAGAATTTACCGTGAATTCGCTTACTTTTTAACTGATATTTTTGGTAGAGGTTTCTCGGACTACAAATCCTACGTTAAGTTTCGAATTTTATTTTTGAATAATGCTCTCAGCAAATTGAGATATATTGTCTTTGACTGACTGCTTTGTTAGAAATCACTTCTCAACCTTCACAGTGTCCATATAACTAAATTCAATCCCTCATCCTTGGCCCGAAGACGAAGAATATGAAATGTTCAACTCTATACTTTGCCTTCAAAGAGTCGAAACTCTTACTTTTTGAATGGTAGAAAGACACAAAGGACTTTCAATTACTGCCTCCAGATATTTCAGATATTTGTCTTTGAGTAAACTTTTCACGATAAATAACCTCTGGATAAAACCTTTTGAAGCAATCGTCGCAGTGTCCATGCCTGTCAAAAGCTGCAAAATTATCGCAGCCAGTTACTCTGCATCGCTCTGGTAATGAGTGATCCGATGGTAAGGACAAAAAAGACACTTCTGATGGGAAGTCTGCAAGAAAAAATATGTTGATATAAATAAATAAATAAATAAATAAATACATGAGTGAATAAAAATGTGTTGAAAACTATGGCTAAAGTCAATCAATAAAAAATTGTTTTTATATTTGTCATCTTCTAGCTGGCCATCAGCTAATTAGGATACAGAGAAAATAGAGAATCAACCCAGGTTAAAAAATTTAACCTGAATTTAATTTTGACTTCTCCTCATCAATTCTGTGAGAAATGAATGGACAACAGTGTGAAGAATGTAGCAATTAATAAATTAGTGCTCCAAGCTTAACTTTTTCCAAAGTCGCCTTTTGGCAATACATAAACCAGCATCTAAAATATCCGAAAGCCCATAAAAAGACTGGAGAAGCTTGTTATGTACAGGTTGCCAAATTAGCGCCTTTGCTATATTTTATTAGTTGCCAGTCTTTTTATGTTTGTTTGTTTGTTTGTTTCCAGATATCTTCACAGCTTGGAAAGCTGTGTAGAGCTTTGCGTTCATGTTATATAGTAAAAGGGGGATAAATAATATTTATCTAAAAAGGTTACATGTAACCTTCACTTGTTTTACTGTCCCATCTAGATTAGTATTTGCTACCTGCAGGTCAGTGTAATTTACTTACGTTAACTCTTACAACAAAGCTTTGTTGTTGTTGTTAACAAAGGATTTTGAGCTCACACCTGGGAATCAAACCTCAGAAATTTCCGCACAAAAGGCCATGCACTATTAAACCAACTGTTCTACGTGTTTTGTTTTGTAATTCTCACCTGGAATTGAAGCAGGACCTGACTGAGGTATTGTGCTCTCCAGGAAGCACCGAGAACAGTACCCATTTGTCTCAGGAGTGCCAAATAGTTTGCAGTTGGTTCCACGGCATTTCCGACCATGGACATCATCTTCAGCATTTCCTGAATATGCATCATGGCGTCTAACTCTGGCCCCATAAGGTGGACTTTGAGTCTGGCACACCTGCACAGGGTCTTTAAGTGGACAGGAAGATGGTACAAAATTACCAACCATCCGGGGAATCGGCTCCATGGATCTTGAACTGTGTTGCTGACTACCTTTAAAAGTTGGGGCACTTGGTTGCACTCTTCTCACCTTAAGAAAGCACTCATCACAATAACCATTTTTCTCTGGGGTGCCAAATCGTAGACATCCGGTTGAAGTGCATGGCATTGAGGTCACTGAGGCCCCCTTTTTAGCCGCCGCTGATGTCGCAGTTGGTTGAGCACTTCTAGCAGAGCTGGATAGGGTATTGATATTTCTTTGCTCCACCTTTAGATGCAATAGATGCAAAACGATAGCAAAACAAGTTAGACTGCCATAATATTGCACAGCTAATACGACAGTGGCCAACTAAAAACTGTTGCTCTTTCCACCACTGTGTATGTACCTCTTCCTTGGAACATCTTTTTCCTTTACATATCTTTTAAGTAAATGCTCATAAATTTTTTTGAAAACCAATTGCTATTACAAATGCCCCATCAATTTAAATTTGAAGTTAATTAACTTGTTGTTCAAAATTTATGAGAAACAGACCTTCTTGGTATCAAAATCAACATAAAAAAATTGGTTCATATACCAGTTTTGTGTATTACAACATTTTCTTAGAGAAAACTTTACAGCTCTATCAAATTTGTCCTTTTACACAGCCACCATTTTAAAAATTCATTTCAAGCATGTGTTCTTACATCAATGGTCATTTTCCAGACAGGCAATCACATGCACAAATCAGATTTGACCAGATCTTGCCTTTGGCTCCAACGACAAGAGCTCTCTGGGTAAGAGATTACACATGACAATACACCAGTTTCGAATTCATCATCGCCATTGGATAGAAGCAGTTAAGACTCATTTATACAGGGTTAGCCTCAACCTAAAGTAAAATATTCACAAACACTGGCAAGGAGGTGCCTGAATTTGCAATTCAAACGATAGACACAGTTGTACTCGAGTCTTCTTCTGACTGGAATTTGTGAATATATTTTACCTTAAGTTTAGACTAACCCTGGATACCAGTAAATGATTCTTCAGTGCTTCTATTCAGCAGCCACAATGAATTTGAAACTGGACTATTATAATAAATCGTGAGTTGCTCTATAGTCATACCTGACTGCTAGAAGTTATTGGTGGTGTAACACTTTGCTGCCTTTTTGGCTGTCGTACGGGTTCTCTGTTGAGTTCAAACTGAAGAGCAGTAAGGTAGCATTGCTCACACAGGCCAGTGTCTTCAACTGGTGGCTTCTGACATCCATTGATGCATTTATTACCTTGAGCTGATGTGGATGAGTTTACAATTCCAGTAGCTGCAGTAGCCTGATGGGAGGTTCTTATCTCCTGAGATGAAGTTGGTACAGGAAATGCAAAAGCACTAGAATTAGTAGGTGTCTGTTGGGCCTGGGGCGTACTTGTGGCTGTTGAACCTCCTGTGGCTCCCACATCAACTGGCCTCCTTAGCAGCTGTAAACTTGCAGGGGGAACAACATGTGGCAAACTAGCAAGCCAACTTTCACATCTTGAACATACAAATTTTCCTTGTTCAACTATTTCATTAAGGCAGGTAGGGTTAGAGCAGTAATGCCCACCAGCTCTTGGTGATGCTGATGGGAGGTGACGCACTGAAGCAACTGTTGCTGATAATGACAAAGTACTCACAGGAGGTTGAGTCCCTGAAACATTAGCTGCTGAAGCAGCAGATGTGGTTGGAACAACAACTGGATTGGTCCTCGTCTGTAGAGAGGGACCTGACTTTCTCTGATAGCATTCTGGACACAAATCACAATACTGAAATACTCCTTCATTGACGCAGCCAGGTGAAGCACACAACACACCTTTCTTTCCTGCCCCTGTAGGCAATGACATCTTTTTCTGTGGTGGTGGTGGAGGTGGTGGAAGATGTGGACTTATCTTTGCAGCTGTTCCAACCGATCTGCCTTCAGATGTGATGAATGAATGAATGCATTTAGTATAACATTCAACACACATGTCAAAAAGTGCAGGGACAGCTGGAAAAGGGCAGCCCTGGGTCTTGCACATGTTGGCTGGTGTTGCTGTAGGGCTAGGAGGTGGTAAACCAGTTGGTGAGCTCACTCCCAAAGTACTCTCCATGCGAACACAGAAGGATCTGTAGCATCTGGAACACAAGTCATGATGTTGCGGTAATCCATAGAACTCACATCCATTCTTCTGATTAGCACAGGGCTTTGCTGATGCCAAAGTCACATGATTCATACTTGCTGCCAATTCTTCAGCACTCCTCTCAGCTTCAAAGCACCTTTCACAAAGACCACCTCGGTTGGCGACCGCTGTATACTTGCAACCAGTGGTGCTGCATCTGGCAGAATTTGCAGGTGGGAGATTCATGGACAGTGAACTCGCTCTTGCAGTAGGAGGATTCGGCTGCTGCCCTGTGGGAATCTGTCCTGGCGGAACATGAGCTCTTGGCTCTGATGCCGTTCCTAAGCACCTCAGATGCTCATTAAGACACTTGGAGCAGCGGTTGCCAGTTTCAGTGGAACCAAAGAACTCACAACCCTCAGTTTGGCAACGAACAATTTGTAGGGCTGGCTGTTGGGTACCTGGCTGAAACTGTGGACTTAGTGGTCTGTTCCTGGAAGCTCGACTGTATTCCTCTCTTGCCTTTGCAAAGTATCCTTCAATGAGATCTTTTATGCAAGTAGGCTGTTCCACAAAATGTAATTTTGCAACAAGAATGTGAGACCTCGGCTCCTCTGGGTTGACGGCAAATGGTACTCTGGCACAATCTAAGTACTGACGAAGACGATCACTAGCAAGTGGTACCTCATCATCATAGAGGAAGTGAACATTTAAGGGTGTTCCATCATATTTCACCAACGGTACTGCATGTATAGGGCTAATCACACTTGGAGACACCTGATTTTCAAGGTCAAGATCCAATTTTCCATCTTCAATACTCACAACTGCTGTAAAATGGCCATCAGCATAGCCAATAACCAATGGACTTTTTACACAGTCAACAGAGTCCCAAAGCAGGGGTAAATAGACACCTCCAAAGTTAATTGGTGCATATGAATCTCCAAAGTGCCCTCTAAGCGTCTCATCTGAGACTACTATTATAGTGCGACGGAGAATATTGGCTAACACAAATATGTGAATTTCTTCGAGGCTTCCAAACTGTGCACCATTTGGACCATAAGGAAATTCAGTCTGTGAGATATGCCGTATAACTTCCTCCCATTCATGACTCCACTGTTCTTCTGAACGTTCATATCCACCAATATGATTTAATAAAATCTGACGTTGTTCCTCAGATTTCCAGCGGCCATGATAAAACCCTAAAATATGATCACAAATAGATTATGGTAAGTGACAACATGCAGGTACATATTACAGTCGACTCCCGATAACTTGAACCTTCAAGGGAAATCGAAAAAAGTTCTAGTTATCTGGAATTTGAAGCAAATAACCGGAAGTCAGGAAATAAGGAAATGAATGGGGAGGGAATGCAATTAAGCAACAATGTATATAGGGATGGTCACTGAATTTGAACTGGAGTGACAAAAAAGTAAAAACAAAGAATTGACATGGTTGCTTTGAAATAAATTGAATGTCTTGGACTTCAGTACACGTTTTTTTTTCCTGGCTTGTCACGCGCTTACAACATGGTTCAAGTAATCGAGGGTGGAATTGTGTAGAAATGATCTCAAGGGAATAAAAATTTACTTCGAGTTATTGGGAGGTTCGAGATAATGAGGGTTTGAGTTACCGAGGGGAAAATTACAGTAAATGTAAGAAGGAAATCCATGGGAAATTGACTTTGGTTCCAGTTAGCGTGAGGTGCGAGTTAGCAAGGGTTCAAGTTATCGGGAGTCAATTGTATGTGTAAAAGATCCACAGCACTTGCGATGAAAATCTAAGGCAGCTGGGTAAGAGGTAACAATTTTCATTTACACCAACAATAATAATATTATTTTTACTACTTAAAACAGGAAAGCCAAACCTAAACCAGGCTATTTCTTAATGAAGGTCAGCAACTACATTTGATGGGGGTTATGAGTCTTATTTTAATACGAGTATCAAAGTTTTTTTCATTACAGAGAGTTTAAAGGTAAGAAATGCTAATATAAAAAGGTCTTTAGTTTAGCTCTGCAACTTCCAAAATTTGAAAAACACCATGGTCTTATTCAGGACACAACATTGAATCAAAGTTCGGAACTAGAATAAACTTCATGCTGATGCCCCATAAAACTGTTAAGTCTGAAAAATATAAGGATAACTGATTTCTTTGGTAACAACTGTACTAGTCCACAGAGAAAGCATTGAGCTAGACAACTACTACTTTGGACTATCCAAAGCTTATCAATTGGAGAGGTGTTATTAGAACTCTAGTCTGACATCACTAATGACCCCTTTTCAGCCTCCTAAAGGAATTTACTCATCAGCGAACAACAGCAGTTCTACTTCCTCATCAATTAATGTCATTACTAAAACATGCTACAACAATGAACTCCCAGTTGATCAGCAGGAAATATTACTGACAATACAAATGAGTTATCTTTAGATCATGAACAATAAATTACCATGACTTCTGTTTTGCTAAGTATCTTTCCGTTTAACTTAATACTTGGATCATTTCCAAAGGTGGACTTATAGTAGGTCAAAACTGGTTCTCAGATTAAAAGTACTGCTTTAGCTTATACCTGTTATTTGAAATATGTTCGACACTCAAGAAGTTTCATACAAGGTGAAAACGTTTTATATCGAAAGCCTTTTAAGGGAAGAGGGTTAATTTAAGAATTCTTGGAAGGGTGAAAGAAAATAAAAAAAGTGGATGACTACGTACTCTCTCACCCCTCCCTCTACTAAAACTTACTTGTACCTTCCACGTCCTCCACAAGAGCTTCGTAGACAGTTTTCCTCAGAGTTTGATAACGATCATTTACAGCCCACATACCAATGGAGGCAGCATGCATTAAACAATTCCCATCACCCAGGGTGTTAACAGTCACCATACGACATAATGCACCGCACCAATTCAGCCTTCTCGCCGTCTCCAGTTCCCTTAGAATGTGGCCATCTACGAGAAAGCTGAACACGAACTTGCGAAACTCCTCTTCTAAGTTTTGAAACGATGGTAGAACCAATGAGTAGCTCGTCGAAGAGCCGAGATGGCGGTGCTTGGTGGCCTCTGCCGGTACCACGACATCTTTTCGTACGATTTCTCGCACGTTCAAAGCTAAATCCAAATCATTGAGGGAGATGTTGCGCTCAAACAAATGGCTTGGAGGTTGAAAACTGGCAGCCATGTTACAGTGATGAAGATAAAGGCGCAATTCAAGCCGAGATAGTGATGAATTTTTCTATTTCTTAATCCAACTAATCAGCACATCGAATGAACCATGACAAGAATTACAGCCTTGCGATTCTTTCACGAAGTTGTTTAAATTTGCTGCCTTTTCAAAATGACGGGTGTATATAAAATATCTGAAACAGGAAGTGGATGTGTGTCAGAATTCAGGGAAAAAACAGTTGTTGCAATCAACTGGACATTGTATCTGTGAGCTACATTCACTTTTTGAAATTCATGGCAAATTATTCGGAAACATCACTTACCTTTTTTACCGAAAATCGTCGCCAAATTACCCCCGATGAATCGAAACACCAACGGCAAACCAAAAGAGTTTTATTGTAAATCGGTCCCGGGACTTTTCCCGCGGGGAAACCCCCGACGCCACCCTGGTCACATGAGAACAACGGCTGTAAGTGGTTTTCTCTAGGGTAGTATAGATTTGGCCCTTTTGATACTTTATTTTTAAGCCCATTTGTACGGAATATGTTGCGTAAAAACAATTTGACTAGAGAAAAGAAATATTTGTTTAATTCACGTTACATTTTTTTACCTTTTTTTTGTAGAACATCTCATTTAATTACCTCGCAATTAAATTACTTGTACTATACCCACTACTATACCACTAGTAAGACTGTAAACAGGAAGTTAGGAATGCGGGCTCACTCGCCAGAAATAAAATGTCGTCATTTAGGTAGGGAGGGATTTTTCCGCTTCTTGTTTATCCATCAAGGGACGAAAAAATTTGAGGTTTGTTATTCCAGTCACTATTATGCTATGTATTTATTTGGTTTATTCAATACGTGTATTGGTGAATCGAATACGTCCTTGATATTTTCTTTCTTTTTTGTTTGAGCTCTTTAAAATTCTTGATCACTTAACCGCCATCAGGGGGCTTCACTGTCAAGCAAATTAAATTCAAAGTAAGGTTAAACTTAAATATATTTGTGGTTCAGTGAGAAGTGGACGAGTGGCCTGTATTTGCAATTTATAATTGGATGAAATTTGTGTCTTGTAGTTGTAGCCAAAATACGTCATGTCTAAGATATTATATACATGCATAAATAATTAAGCTTAAGTTAATATTTAGCAAGTTCTTGATACTCAAAAAAGTAGTAGCCCAAAGTTAAACTGCAAGCAAATCTGTCAGATCTCGTATTTCAGTATTCAAGTCCCCAAAACGTCCTGGTAAGCTCAAATATACTTAGAAAAGTGTGTCTTGGTGTGTTATAGGTAGAAATGGCATCGTTACCAAGCAACAAGGGCAAAGTGGCAATAATTGGCAGGTACTTTTTAGGCTTTCTGCCTTGAGGAAAACTCCCCTATATAAATATAGGTATAAGTATGTGCATTGAAAATGGGCAGAGATTTTCCCCGTGGGCTGAAATTCAGGGGCTATCCTGCAAAAACAACTGTCTCTCTTAGCTCCTCAGCACCAGGGACATTTGGCCGGGAGGGACATCTGAGCCCCAGCTAGAGAAATTCTTTACTGATGATGTAAAATCTGTACGGAATCTGGTCAGGAGCTCTGAGCTCTGATTGGTCGACATATTTAATAGTCATACATTGTATTGTTTAGCTATTGTTTTTAAACAACAGTCAAACAACAGACAATCCCAAAGGTCAAATGTAAATGTGATGAATCTACTGCAAATTAGTCAGAATGTTCATGGAATATATTCTCCTTTTGAAGTAGTATAATGTGGGTTCTGCTGGCCAAGCTCTTTAGCAGAAAAAACACAAAACTTTACCTTAATCAACCAAGGAAATCATAGCATCAAACAAATTCGTGACTACCAGATTTACATGTAAACATTGATTTATGTTATCAGTATGGAATTTCTGTCAATGAGGTGCAGACCCCCCTCCTTCCAAAACATCCTAGCAACAATCAGCGAGGAGAGAGCTTATTTCGCAGGCTATTCACAGGCGGATCCAGGATTTTTAAATTTATATAATTTCTATTCGAAAAGGGATAGAAATAGGTAGGTTTGTGAACTTTTCAAGGAGGCGTTGCAACCTCCTCAATCCTCCTGCTCAATCCATCCCATCCATGGTTTTTAGAGGGCCCTGAAAATGAGTGTGGAAAATGGTAGGGTTTGGTCTGAAATATAGTGACTTGGAACCAGGAAGAACACCCCCACCATGCCCCCAGGAATCAGTGCAGGAAGAAACCCTCCCCTCGGAGTCTCCTGATCCTCCACATTTGTTTTGAGGAGCTTGAATTAATCAACATTTCAATCTGGTTGGTTGGCACAATGAAATGACTTGCTTATGATTCCAAAGGGTCAAGGGAAGAGGCTTCATAACGTGTAACAGAAATACTAGATTATTTAAGAAATGTACTAATGTTGCACGTAATTTATGAGTTTAAGCCATCCAAGCTAAGAATTACTCATTTTACACTAGTGGGTGGGTGAAAGTTTTTTTTGTCTTGTTACGACTGACATTTGTTATTGGACAAAATAACACAACCATATTATTTAGTTAGGTGCGAAAATTAACTTTTTCCTGTTTCTGTCAAGTGCAAACTAAACAATAATTTATAGTTATTTATTATATAGACACGAGTGTTTTACTGGAAAATATACCACTCGTAAAATTCATAAAAACTACATCCGGGACCCGAGTGGTTTATTTTCCATAATCTCACACGTGAGTTTATCGATGACGTAATTTCGGTCATTTCCCTCTATTATTTTATCGATGTCTTTTTGTCTATATAATAAAAAGAACATTACACGGCGGCTTGAAGATATGAAGTTTATTTTCTTGTGGCAAAAACACCATTTTTTTTTTGCCACTCGAAAATAAAACTCATATCTTCGCGCCACCGTGTAATATTCCTATATGTATTGATTGATAGCACCTAATTATAGTGACTGCAAATCATTAAAAAAAAAAACATCCTACAGTATTCTAGATTAACAGAACGAAAAGAGCAACATAAAATTTGTACTTTTATCTTCTTATGTTGCAGTGGATTAATAGGAAGATGTTGGTCTGTGGTAAGAGATTTTGTCCTTGATTTATTTCAAGTTGACCTGCTGTATTTACTCATAAAAGCCTCATGTCAGCTTAATTATTAGATGGGCCGGGTGCTTATAATTTTAAGGGAGATGTTAAAATTCCATTTAACTATTTCATGGAGAGTGACAGCTGGTCTATGTTATCCTTATTTCATTTTCTTAGTTACTTTGTAGTTTTAATCTAAGAAAAAAAATTTTTGTGACAAAAGGTGAAGTTTTTGTGTGATCCCCTTGAAGACCAACAAATAATTTATAACAATATCTTTCAGTAACGAGTATAAAAATCATTTTTACTGATCTTTGACATTGTCAGTTTCAAAGTAAAATAAAAATACTAGCTAGCTGGTACATTCTTTAGTACTGCATTAAATATGTTGTTCTAGTTCATTTTTTATCTTAGGTAATTTTTATTTTTCCTTTGTTTCAACTTAGTTAGCATACATTACCATACCCAGAAACAAAAGGAAAATATAAATTACCTGAGATAAAAAGTGTACTATCTAGAACATTTATTTGTAAAGAATTAAACCATAACAGTGAAGTTCATAATGCACCAGTATCAGTGCTGTCAACTCTCCCAGGAAATCCGGGAGACTCCAGATTTTGGACCGCATCTCCCAGTTTCCAGATTAGAGTCTGGAATCTCCCGGATTATCACTGAAGTGCCATTTTCTTGTAGAGTCGACTTTTTGACAATGAAATTTCAAATATTTTGCATTGTTTGAGCTATTTTGCTGTTAACATCGAGCGTTTTCTCATAGACTTGAGTATGCCATATTGTAATATAAGCAATAATGTAATTGGTGGGAAGTAAAGCAATCAGGTCAGATGTTACATTGCCAACTACATCTTTTTCTTG